TGATGCTTTCTCTCCCCTCAGAAACAAATTTAATCCATTTGTATACTGCCATTTTCTTTTGGCATTATCCCCATAAACTTGGACTAATGTGTCCCTGCTTTCACTTCCATTTCTTGCCAAGTTTAACAAGAAATTTAATGTGTGTTCGTTGCTCTAATTTAAGCTCTGACATTCTCATGTCGGCACACAAAAACGTGTAACAATAATGAATGTCACTCAGCAAGACACTGCCATACATTGACATGAACACAGCTCTGAGAAACTGATCCACTGAGGTTACGAAACCTTACCGGGTTGTTTGCACAGTGCTACCAACGTAAGCACAAACTTAATTGTCAGACCTGGTAAATAAATGTGTATGTGTACATATACACTCACATACATATTCATGTGTGTGCAGATCAAGACATATCTACAGAGAGCTTCACTAAATATGTCAGGCACTATTCCTAGCAGCTAGGATACAAAATAGAATTCAAATTTCTGCCCTCATGAGTCTTATACTCTAGCACAGAGAGAAACACAATAAAGATAGGTCAAATTAATCCCCCATTACATTGTGTTGAGTACTAAAAGAAAAAGTAAAGGAAGGAATAAGAAATATTGGGAATAGGCAACAGCATGATCTAAAAGAGGGTGATGGAGGCTTGACCAAAAAGACAATGTGTGAGCACAAATGAGGGTGTATTATGAGGAAGAACGTTCCAAGAAGAGGAAACAGCAAAAGCAAAGACTATGAGGCCCAGAACTTGTGGAGAGTCTTCTGGAAATCCAAAGCTGAGTGACAGTCTGAGAGATCAAAGACGTAACGAGGGAAGGGATTCAAAGTCATTGTAAGGACTCTTGTTTTTACTTTGTATTAAGAAGCCCATGGGAGACTTCGGGCAGCAGAGTGGTATGATCTCACCTCTTGTTTTAAATAGATTTCCTTTGGTTTCTTTGTTGAGAATAGACTCAAAGGAAAGCAAGGTCAGAAGCAAGAAGATCCGTTGCTGGTCTACTGTAATACTATAATCAATTCTGTAATCCAAACAAGAGATGATGCAAATTGTAGTAGATAATTGTGCTAAGTCAGATTTTGGATACATTTTAAAGTAAGAGCCAACATATTATTTACAAAATGGATGCAAGATATCAGAGTAAGAGAGGGATAGAGGGAGAGGGAGAGGGAGAGAGAGGAAGAGAGAGGGAGGGAGAGAGACAGTGAGAGAGAATATAACTTGTAGCATTATTTTAAAAACCTGTTATAAATATGCGCCTAGAATGAAGAACTGCGAAAAGCTTTCCCTCATTTAAAAATATTTATAAACCCGAAAAAATAATTGCATTCTGATCCCACTTTAACCTCAAACAAGGTCTTTAAGCAAGTCATCGAACCTTGTTATATTTATTTCCTAACTGACGAAAATTAGGAAAATGAAGAGTTGGACAAACTGACCTCTCACAATCTCTGCCTGGATTCAAATCTCAGCTGGGTGCCTGTTTCTGTAAAAGGGGCATAAGAATAGTACCTACCTCCTAGCTCATGAGGTATGATTATTAGGATTAATCGAGTATACATGTGCAAAGTACTTAGAACAATGTTAAAGTTAGTATTATCCTTCGAGCTGGAATCTTCGAGTACACATCAAATTTTTGCTTTTCTCTGTTCATGGGTTGTGTCGGAGAGAGGGGTAAAACAGGGTGTGGGCTAATAAGATAAAAACTGGGAACTAAGCGTAAGGCTGTAACATATTTATTTCAAGTTTCTACAGTTACAGAAGTCGTAAGAAACAGCACAGAGTACATCACTCAACTCGACGGTCACCTTCAGAATTGACTTACGTACTCACACGCAAAAATAAAAACCCTGACATAGATGGATTTCAGAGGAAGAATGAAGCACGTACACATTCCCGTACACACAAGGACACTGACAATTCCCAGCCCTGAGCGAAACCGCTGGATGAGAACGCAGCATGCTCTAAGTCAAAGCCACGAAGAGACTGTCCCGGAACCAAGTGCACGCTCCCAAAGATAAAAGGCCTGCTCTTCCACCCTCTTCGTTTCCCTGCAAATCGATACAACGCAGTCAGCTCGGAAAAAAGAGGCGACGCACGTGAAACGAAATGGAGAAGGCTGTTAAGAGTTCTGATGTTCAAAATCACACGCTCGCGACCAAAAGAACCCATTTCTCCTAGATTTTCAGGCAGGTGCATTTCCTTTTCCAGCTTCCTAGGCATCCGTCCGTGAAAAACAGCTCGGAGGGAGAGCGAGATCCCTCCTTCTCCAACGAAACTGCCCAGTCATCCAGAAGGTGCACAAACCGGAGCGTCCCGGAGCGCTCCTCCCTCCGCCCCGCTTTTTCTTTCTGAGGCTAAGGGGAGAGCTTCGGGCCGAAACCCCGCCGGGCGCCCGCGGGCCGCTTTCGACCCGGCAGCCGGGTTTCGGAACAGCGCCACCTGCCGGCTCCACGCGAGTCTGACGTCCTCCACCCCGCCTCTCTCCGCGGTGGGCCTGCATCCTGGCAGAGCCGCTAGCCCCTCATACAGAGCGAGAAAAACATAAAAGCAGTTCGAAGGACCCGGGCGGCGAAACCGGGGCCCTCCCCC